TCAGGCCATCGCTGCTCCCCCGGGGCCACGCGTGAAGTCGCCTGCGTGAAGGTGAGGGGTGGGTGGGGGCGTCCCCGGGGCAGTGGCTTTCGCGCGGTGCCCCTATGGCCTCCTCTCCGCACGCGGGGCCCGGAGCTGGCCTGGCTTCGGCCTGACGCCCCGGGCGTCCCTCCTTTCCGGAGCTGCGCCACCCTCTGCCCTCGCGACCCTCGGGGCGCGGCTGGAGGCCCCGGGCTGCGGAGGTGCGGCTCTCGTCCTCGCCGGGAGTCTCCCGGTGCTGCGTGGAGGCTTCTGGTGTTTGGGGCCGAGGGGGTGGTGTGGAGAGGGCTCGGGCGTGACGCGGCTCCTCCCGCCGTCGCCGCCACCGCTACCGCCACCGCCACTCTCTGGGGCGTCCTTCCTGCGGTGAGGACGCCCAGTCACTCCAGCGCTGCTCCAGGCCGGGCGGGGGAGGGCGGCCGACCCGCCGCGGCGGAGGTGGGGAGGAGGGCGCCTTCTCATTCCCCAGGTGCTGGCCTTGGGGACGGGATGGTGGAGGGATAGGGCCCCTGAGGGAGGCCTGGAGGGAGGAGACACTAGCGTTTGTGAGTGTTGGGGAGCGCATTTCAGGTCTTTCTGAGGCTTAGCCTTTTTTGTCGCAAAACCGAGGTTAGAGGATGGGGAGCTGTGCTGGAGTGCCCTCTTCTCTTTCAAAGGCGCTGCTGGCTCGTGACTGAGGCAGCTGGGCTGGGGCCCTCTGGTCACCCTCCTGTCTGGAGGCCCAGGTCCCTTGCCTTTTTCCCAGGAAGGAGGGGGTAGGCTGGGCGCCTCCCTATCCTTTTCTCACTGGCACCTTGGACAGGGGAGATTGGGGCTTGGCCTCACCTCAGACGCCTGGGGGGCCAGGGGTGAAGAATCGTGGCATTGTAGTCACAAGACCAACGTTATGTAACTGCAGGCTCCCTCCTGGAGAAAGGTGGCTTTAATTACTTTGATAAAGTTGTTCCTTTGCACTTTGGGGATGAGGCAGTGGAGCAAGGCAAGCTTGCTGGGAAATGCTGCTAATTTCATACTTGAACTTCTCTGTTTGTAACCTGGCCTCCACCCCCACCCGGGGTTTATAAACAGTGTCCCTTTCTAAGTGGTAAGCTGGAACAAGACACCAGGTGACACTAGTTTTCTTCATGTATAAAGAGCCTTACAATGTCAGCACCTTCTCCCTGTGCTGCTCTTGTACCCTTACTCAAGCTCATGAAGTTGCCTCATTTATCTTATTTAAAAATCATTGGTCTTTAAAAAGATGATGTTGATTTGCCCAAGGTCATATAGGCAGTCAGGCCTTGAACAGGATTCTCCTCACTTTTCCTCAGCACCAGGAAGTGCTCACAGACTCCTCTTGAGGCTCTGACTTTTCCTCCCAGAGTGTGGGGACAGAGGGTACTGATCCACTAACGCTTAGCTCTACCAGGCTCTGCTGAAGTAGAACCAGCCCTGCTTAGGTTGATAGAACCAGACAAAGGTGCTTTGGATTCAGTCAAGGGCTGCCTAACTGGCAGCTGGTTTGCTTGCATTTTTTTGCATCTGGTGCAGGCTAGAGGAGTAATTATGAGTTCTGTTTCCTTTTCAGCCTACCCAGTCCATAGGCTAGTGTGGATTCAGAGATCAGGGTGGCCTGGAACAATACCAGGGGATCTCTCCTTGAGCATGCAGAATTCTTGTAGCCTTGTATTAGGGCTGGAATGACAGCATTCTTTATCCACTAGGCTGGGCTGCAGAGGTATTTTGAGGGGTGGGACATGGGGGAGGTGGGTTGTTACTGCTCTTTGTGACAGAACTGTGGCCAAGGAGAGAGGATAGGATTTTGCAGCTCATCTCTATTCCTGCAAAGCACCCTCACTTGCTAGACTGCCAGGCAGGTTCTGGCCAAACCCTCCTGGGATTCCTGTCATCCTAGGAAGAGACCATGCAAGGTCTACCCCAGAACTCTTTAAGTTGCTATAGAATAAATATCTGGTTTAGATAGCAGAGCTATGAAAAAAGGGGTGTTTAATAATTCTTCATCTTTTGTTATCTCTGTCACCACTAGACATTGGTAGCCTAGGTGTTGGCAACATTTTCTGTGAAGGTCCAGATAGTAACTATTGTAGGCTTTATGAGACCATACAGTCTCTTGCAGCTACTCAACTCTGCTATTGTAGCATGTTCGGCTAAAACTTCATTTACAAAAACAGGTGGTGGGCTGAATCCAGCCAATGGGACAGACCCCTGTATAGACTTTTGTTAGCAGAAGTTCTCGTATAATTTTAATTAATCCTTATAACAACCCCTGATAGAGAGCTACCCTCATTGCTAAAATGGAAGTGTCAAGTGCAGAAAAGCTAAGTGACTTGTCCACAACATAAGGGTTCATAGGCATGCTGATTGCTAGTCTGTCTTCTTTTTACTATGATACTAATGGTGTAATAATGGTCATTAAATCAAGGACTTAATTGTCTTCAGGTGTTATACCACCTGGTTTACTCTCAGGGTAACCCCACAGTCCCCATTTTAAGGTAATGGCATGAAAATACAAAAGTTAAGTGATTTGCCCAGGGACACAGCTAGCAGGTGACATATTGTAGTATCTTGGCTGTTGGTGCTGTTCAAAATATCAGAAATAGATAAATTTAGAGTTGGAAAATCCTCACTATATATGATAAAAACTGATGGCTTATTACATCTTTGTTACTATTTATCTTGTATTTCCCAGGCCTAGGGACCGTGTCTTGGTTAAATGCTTAGGAGCTCCTTCTGTTGCCTCTTGTCTGTGTTTTCTGTTGTCCTCACCTTCTGTACTCCCCTCTCCCAGTGAGGCCCCATACCCAGTTGCTAATGTGTATTGTCCAGAGTCATGGGGTTGTCAGCCTTACCTCTTTGCTTCTTCTGCAGTGTCACGATGTCTGACCGGAAGGCAGTGATCAAGAACGCAGACATGTCTGAGGACATGCAACAGGATGCCGTTGACTGCGCCACACAGGCTATGGAGAAGTACAATATAGAGAAGGACATTGCTGCCTATATCAAGAAGGTGCACTGGGAGAGCTATGGTTGGTGGCTAGGGGTGGGGATAGGCAAGCTGAGCTGTACCCTAGGGAGGGCTGGAGCTGGGGACATAGGAAAGCAGCTATACCCTGTGCATATAAAACCCTAGGAACTTGGAAGCAGACAGATTAGGGAATGATTATTAATTGCCAAAGAATTTACCTTAGGCATTCTTAACAGGAATTCTGCTGGTTTGTGTGTATGTGTGTGTGTGTATTTACAGATAATTATGTCACTGCAAGGGATCAGGGAGAGAAGCTTCAGGATTAAATAGAACTGGCCCAATTAAAAATGAACATCAAGGCTATTTGAATGGATAAGATCATATACACATTTTCAGGGAACTTTATCATTTAAAGTGGTATATTCCTATAATCTCATCATGTAGAAGGTTTCCTTTCTCTTAAAAAGGATTCAGGGGGGAAAAACAACACACATACAATAACAAGGACTCAGGTACTGCATCATGCCCTTCTCCACTACCTTCTTAAGAAAAGGGTGAGCTTGAATATATAATTTTTTAAAAATGGATGAGCAATATTGGGACAGTGGGTTTAGTCCCTGAAAAGTTCCTGAGTGAATGGGTGAATGGATATGGTTAACATAGTGAGGAATCAACTGAGCTAGAAGTGAGAAGTGGTACACAGGCCCCTGATTCGCAGTCAGGATCCTCGTCCATTGGTGGCATAGCCTTAGTCTTTGATAGTCTCAGCTCTGGTATCCAAAGAAGGATGCCTAACAGTAGTGGCATTCTGGTCTATAGAGGTGGTAGGATATCCTTGAGTTTTACAGAACTCTGCTTTCCTACCCAGATGGGTGGGGTGAGAAGAGGAAACTCTGGAGTCCTACAAGATTTTCTGTGTGTAGAGCCAGCAAGGCTCCTGGGCCTGCCAGCTCCTTGCTGAAGTACGGCTTTGCTGTCCTATCTAAGGAGAGAATCCAGAATCATGGACTATCAGAGCTAGAAGAATCCTTAGATTATATCTGGTCCAGCTTTCTTGTTTTGCTGATGGGGAAAATGAGACCTAGGGAAGTGACTATGTTTCTCCTATCTTACAGAGTCTTGAGTCAGGATTATAGCTGGGTTTGGTGGTGCATGCCCTTTCCACTGTTCCATAATACCTCTTGGAGTCATGTGGTATGGGAGTTGTGAGGAGGCCAAACAACTTGTATGTTGAGCCCCAGGGTTGGCAGCATTGCTGGGCCAATGGTGGAAGGCTATTGCCTTTTCACAGCTGTGGCAGGATGGCATCTAGAACTCAGCCATAGGTTTCCTACTGCACCCACAGGGTGACAGGGAGCTGCCTTTGATTAGGTCACAAGGATTTCCTAGGTGGCTTTGATGCCGAACTTGTGCCCCCTAGAGAAATGAGAGAATTGCCTTGATCTCATCGCTGAGGTCCTTGTTCTGCTGCTTACAGCCCCCACACTGCCAGGCACAGAGGAATGCCTTTAATGTTGACTTACACAGAACTGCTTCCTGGTACTCCTGACGTTTGATTCCCCATTTTGCTCTAGTGTTTTGGTTTTTGGTATTTGGAGATACTGGTTTAGTAATGTGGGAGGCTATGGGTGGGAAGTCTGTGAGGCTTGCCGCTCTGTTTTATTCACGCTGTGTGACCCTGGAGTGGTCCGTTGTGTCACTGGCTTCTCTGATTCCCTTGCTCAAGAGTCTCAGAGTGGGCTATTGAATAGGGTAGCTAGAGGGAGGAGAGATGATCAGGGTGTAAAGTGCTAGAGAGAAATAGTGGAGCCTTTGAGGTGTTACACTATTAATGAGGGAAGGAGTGTCCTAGCCAGCTTTAGAACCTGAGCTCTTGAGGTTTGGGGAGCTGAGGCCATGGGCTGGGGGTGATAACTAAACTGACCGACTCCCATTCTGATTTCTCATCCTCAAGCTGTCCTAATCACCTTTCTTCTCTACCTTTTATTTTTCTTTTAGGAATTTGACAAGAAATACAACCCTACCTGGCATTGTATTGTGGGCCGAAATTTTGGCAGCTACGTTACACACGAGACAAAGCACTTCATCTATTTTTACTTGGGTCAAGTTGCAATCCTCCTCTTCAAGTCAGGCTAGGTGGCTGCAGAGAAGGTGTCAGTGGCGGCGGCAGCGATGGCAAGCAGACGGCGTTGCTGGGACTATTTTGCACTGGGGCCAGCATCAGGATGTCCTCTCCAATGGCTGTGCTACTGCATGGACTGTATACTCGATTTCATGTGTATGTCGCAGTAAACAAAACCAAACTTCTTTCTGTTTAGTTGCCTGGGGAAGAAGGCTGCTTTACATTTATTTTCAAGATTTAAAAAAATTTTTTGTTGTATTGCACTAGGAAATCTCTCCCACCCCTCCTTTTTCTCTTTCTCTCTATATAAACTAGGCCCTCAAAAAAGCCTGTAAGACTGGGAGGGCTGGGGAAAAGAAGTTGGTTTCTGGAGGTGGAAGTAAAATGGCAGCTGCCTCTTCCTGGTGATGGATGCTGCTTTGGGAGGGCCAGGGAGGCTGCTGGAGGACAGTGTTAGAGTCAGTAAGGAGAGAGAAATAGGAAGGAGGGTAGGGGGATTGATCTAGTACCAGGGAGACTATTCCACTGAACTGTGATTCCACGGCTTGGGGCAGAGTGTGGGGTTGGGGGGGCGGATTCTTCAAGGGGCCCTGAGACGTGTTTGTCTGTGGTGTGTGGGAGTGGGGAGCAGATTTGTCTTGCTGTCTTTGTCAGAAGAGTTTCTAGTAAGGGCTGTGTCTTCGTGGATTACCTTTTATTCCTGCCAGAGCTCACGCTAGGAAGGTGTTGGAGGTAGGATTAGCTTGGTTTTTCTCTATTCTTTCTTCTCTACTTTTGTCTGCTCCCTGCTTAGCCCTCGGTTTTCTCATTCCTCTGGAGTTCTCTTAGAGCAGCCCCTCTTTGTTGGCTGGCAAGGGAATTTCTGGTGACTGTAGTTCCTTAGTTAGGTCTTAGCAATCAAACCAAATCAATGTCTCCCTTGATTCTCCTCTGTGTATATGTGTGTGTATATGTGTATGTGTGTGTCTTGGTTTGGGGTAGAGGGGAGGGAGGGGCAGGACGGTATGGAATCTCTAGGGTATATGGGTAGATAGGGTGCACAGTTAGTTTTAAATGGGCCTTTATGTTAAAAACCTTTGGGGGTGAGGACAGATTTCACCCCCCTTTAGCCATCTTGCCCAGACACTCTGCTTGCCCTATGGCTGGCTGCTCCCAGGAAGGTTTTAGGAGGGTAGCCCACAGTGAGTTGGCCATGTTGCCATCTGACCTGGAGTTGGCTCTCATTGGAGAAGGAAAGTGACTTTGTGGATGTTTGCAGCCTCTTGGGGGAGGTAGGGATGGAAGTGACAGAGGGCTGCGAGGAGCTTGGGAGGAAGTCTTGTGATGATGAAGCCAAGTATTAAGAGATGGAGCAGGGCCACTAGTGGGAGGAGATTCCAAGAGAGTGCTGGGAAAATCTTGTCTGTTGATCAAATAGGGATGGGGTGGGGTAGGGGTGGGGGAGTCATTGCTGATTGAGCTGCTGATTCTTGTAAATTACATTTAAAACTCTCATGTGTACGGTTGACACTGTGGGGGGGGCAGTTTGGGATCTAGCTCATTCTTTTTTTTTTTCCAACTCCATCCTTGGGGCTGGTGGGGAGGCAGGAGAATGTCCCCTCCCCAAGCCTTTAGTGTGCCGAGCTTTCTTTCTGATGCTGACGGGAGGGTGGGGACTGGGATGATAAGCGAGTTCCCTGTATTAAACCCTTCTATGAATGTCCAAATCTGTGTTTTCCCCTGCCCTCCCAGACTTGTGTGGCCAGTTGGAACTGTCTGGTTTGTGTTCATCTCCCTCATTTCTGGAGCTGGGGCTAAGACCCCGCCACATTTCCTATGCTCTGCATCCATGCCTCTTTTGGACATTAAAGGTTGATTGATGCACTTCTGAGTTGTTTGGGTTTCTTTGGGGCTAAAGGGGCTGGACAGGTGGTAGTGGTGCTACACATGGGTGGGGTGGAGGGTATCTAGGGTTGAGTAGAATGGGGGCTGAAGAGAGAAGACCAGGCAGAGAGAGTGATTGGCCTGAATCAGGTTTTAGTCATAGGGTCTAGGTTTGGGCCCCTTAAGTGGCAGAAAACTAACCAGCAGCACTCACCCACAAGGTTTCTTGGGTCCCTTGGTAGAGATGGCCAGGTGAGCCACATTTTGGGTCTTCAATGTAATAGATGTTGCCTTCCCAATTTCCAGCTCCAGGCCCAGTTTCTAGGTCTAGGATGGCAGTTTGTAGCTGCTGTGCTGGACCTAGAGGAGCTTGACTTAGAACCTTTGACCAAAGCTCATAACCCTCATACTCCTAATTCTAGGCTTCCCTGAGACCTGGAGACTATCTACTAGCTAAGTCCTGCTCTAGCCATTCAGAAATGAAAAAGCTGGGGTCTTCAAAAAGATGGAAACTTCTGGTAGAACCTGAGTGGTTCTCTGACTCCTGGGTTATCCTGGTTGTCCCACTTGGGGGCTCCTGCCCCAACATACCTGAAGAAGTCAGTAGTACTGAGACACTTCTAAGAGTGTCTGCCCATCCCTCACCCTAAGCTGTTGGTGTCTTGGGCTTATGGCTACATCTTTGTGCAGATGTGAAAGCAGAGATGCTTTGTACTCATTTCTGTTGTCAGTTATTCATTCAAAAACATTTCACTGAGTTCTTGTGTACCTGGGAGTAAGATGCTGTTAACCCAGGAGAACAGGATAGGCAAGTTATGTGCTTCCATGGCATGCATATTCTAATGGATAGAGCAGACGTACATTGATAAGCTTTGTTTTTTTAAATATGTTTTATGGATTTTTAGAGGAAGGGAAAGGGAGAGAGAAAACCTCAATTGGCTGTTCCTGCAAGTCCCCAAGTCAATTTTCTATTTTTTAAAATCTGGATTGAAATGGGCAATTTTTTTCTGTAAAGAGTCAAATAGTATTTTAGGCTTTGTGGGCCATATGACATAGCAACTACTGAATTGCCATTGTAACATGAAAGAAGCCATAGACATAATGTAAATAAGTGAGGGTAGATGTATTCTAGTAAAACTTTAAAACAGCCAGGGGGCCAAATTTGGCCTGTGGACTCTAGTTTGTCAACCCCTGATCTAGAGAATAACATTCATATGATTCAATATTCCACAGATCCAAAAAGTGAAAATTCTCCCACTCCTGTCCCCCAGCCACTGAGTCTACTCTCCACCCTTAGAAGCAATTCATGTTATGAAATTTTGTGTCTTCTTTCAGGGAGAGTCGATAAAAAGCATTAAGTGGCTGTGTAATGTTCCAGTGTGTTGCAGATGGTTTAATAAACGTGAAAGGACTAACATATTTGCAGGCATGCCCTGAAAGAATGCTATCTAGGAGAGTTGCCCTGACCTACCCAATTGGTTCTTCTGTTAGAATAATCTTTTGAACTCGTGGGATTTACTCAGGAATTTGGGGGACTATGTCTGATGAATATGTCGATTGATCCCTTTTGGATCAAAAAGAAGCTCTGAGTCTCAAGAGACACAAGATTTTCTCAGGTGTTTTTTGTACTAGAGTTCCACTAGAGAAACACAATCAGGATATTTTTTCTATCATCTATCATCTATCCATCTGTCATCTAATCTATCCTATCTGTCATCTCTATCCATCCACCTATCTGGATTTATGGTGAGAAATTGGCTTATGTGATTGTGGGACTAGGTAGGCAGGTCTAGACTACTGCAGGCTGTAAAGAAGGTAAGGCTGGAAACAGGCGGGAGCCAACACTGCAGTCCACAGGTGAAATGTCTTCAGGGAAGCCTCAGGCCTTTCAGTTGTTAGGATCAGGTCCACCCACATTATCCAGGAAAATCTCCTTTACATAAAGTTAACTGATTGTAAATGTTAATCACATCTACAAAATAGCTTCACAGCAACATCTAGATTAGTGTTTGATTAAATAGGTATTGGAGCCTAGTCAAATTAACACCAAACTGATCACAGTTCACATCTGGTCAACCTGGCACCCACATACATCTTAAACCATACTTAGTCTCCAAATAAAACCAATAATCAAGTCACACTTCCACTTAACATGATACAGTTATCCTGCATTACAATTGAAAATGTACTATCCCTTTCCCCAGAAGAGGATGTGAAGTCTTTGGGGGATGTTCACTCTTCTGACAATCCTGTAGCTTCAATAATATAAAGTTAGGTATCATTAATACATTTTATATTAGGTGACACAGAGATAAGAGAGGGGAGAAAAGATTGACACATAATAAAATGAATAAATACTCGTAATAATTACAGTCCTAATTTCTGTAATTAGGGTGGTCATAGCCAGTATGACCATTACGCATTCCATATTTCCTTTGCCCTTGGCAAGCACGTAGACAGGCACTGGTTGTGGTTCTTTTCCTGATGGGATGCTCCCAAACCTTCATTCTTAAAGGGTCTGTGCCATTAGAAGTCTTGTCTGAATTGTGTTGTTAGTGTTTTCCATTGGGTTTAATCATAGGACACAGTAGTACTAAGAGATGCCCAAAGAATCTCCTATATTTCAGGCATACTTTTTTGGTTTTTTTTAATCTTTCCATTGCTTTTCAGAGAGTAGGGGAGAGAGAGAAACATCAATGCGAGAGGTACATGAATTGGTTGCCTTCCGCATGCACCCTGACCAGGGCTGCAATTGTACCTGCAACTGAGGTACGTGCCCTTGACCAGAATCAAACCTGAGACCCTTTAGTCTGCGGCCCGACGCGCTAACCACTGAGAAAACCAGCCAGGGCTAAGCATACTTTTTTTTTTTTTACCTCCATAGTAGCAACCCAATCTCCCCTTCGTAGTCAGAATCAATCACCCCAGCTGTTACAATAACTCCTTTCTTTGCCTGTTGATTCAGATGTGTGAGGAGCCCCAAATGACCAGGTGGTAGTCTTCACTTCCAATTCAATGGAAATTGTGTCTCCTGGTGAGAGCATTCCTCCTCTTGGAATGAAGACCTCTAGACTGGCAGAGCGCAGGTTGCAAGGATGGGAAGCAAACATTTTGTTAGTGGATCATTAGGGGTACTAGTGAGTAGTGCCATTTCATTTCCACTCCTTGGCTACTGGAACCATGAGATTAGCTGTGAGAGAAACCATACGTGGAATGCTGATTTAGAGCATATCCAGTCCCCTGAAGGATATTGCCCCAGCCCTGCAAGGTGTTGCCACCTAGCCGGTGCTGTAACTGGATCTTCAAAGGGCTATTTTCAACCTTTCTATCAAGCCAGTTAATGGGAACATGGTAAGACCAGTAAATTCTGTGAACATGGGTCCTTTGCTGCACTAATTTGCTGTGAAGTGAGTTCCTTCGTTAGGAGCTATGCTATGTGAAGAACCATGATGGTGGGGAAAGCATTCTGGAAGTCCGCAGATGGTAGTTTGGGCAGAAGCGTTACATGCAAGGAAAGCAAATCCACATCCCGAGTAAGTGTCTGTTCTGTAAGAGCAAGGCACTGTCCCTCCATGATGGAAGTAGTCCGATGTCATCCACCTGCCAAGTGGCAGCTGGTTGATCACCCCAGGGAGTGGTGTCGGGTTCTCAGCAGTGGCTTAGCCAGCTTGGCTTTGGTGAGTGGAAGTCCATGCCTCTGAGCCCATGCAGCAACCTCCATCCCTGCCATCTCGCTACCTTGTTCATAAGCCAGTGAGCAATGATGGGTGGCTGGGGAAAGGCTGACTGGCACCCACAGAACAGGTCATCCTATCCACTGGATTATTAAAATCCTCCAATGCAGAAGTCACATGAGAGAGAGAGACTATTGCAAGCACTTGGCCTATGTGATTTTTGGGGTTTGAAATCTGTAAACCTGCAGGTTGGGACTCTGGCAGAAGATGAAGCTGCAGTCCACAGGCAAATTTCTTCTTCCTTAGGGAAACCTCAGTTCTGGTCTTAATGCCTTTCAACAGATTGGACCATGCCCACCCATATTATCCAGAATAATCTCCTTTCCATGAAATCAACTGATTGTAGATATCTACAAAATACCTTCACAGCAACACCTAGATTAGTATGTGATTGGACAAGTAGGTATCATAATCTAGCCAAGTTGACACATAAAACTGACCATTACAGTTTGTCAGCTGAGAAAGTTATCACTGCTCATTGCGG